CCTGTAAATGAAATTGATCAGTCAGAAAAGCTATTGCTAGCTTTTTATTAATCTTATTTTAGCCCAGCTATAGTGGTACAAGCAGGAAAGTACTGTGGAATGGTGGCTGAGGCTGCATAGTTGGCCCAGGTTCAGTTCCTGGCCCAATCTCAAACAGGCCATTCGTGGTGGCATATCCGTGTAAGACCCACTAACTTTGATAACAAGACAGGAGAATCACAACATGGCAAGACCATGTCAAAAATGGTTATGCTGGGACCAGCAGTTAGCATAATGGCTATGTCACTGGACTCCCATGTAGTCAACCGTGGTTCGAGTCCTGGACCCGGTGGCTTAAAATTCACGCCGTGTGCGTGCGTGCCCAAGATCCCGAGAAGAGAATAGAGGAGAAGGGATTGTGGCGTGGCCATCCTCCCTGGGGGGTGATTTCTCGCTTTCTGTCTCTCTGTCTGTCTCTATCTATCTGGCGAGCACACACACTCTAAAGCAAAAACCTCCCAAAAAAAAAAAAAAAAAGTTGTGCTAGGGCCAGCAGATGTCATGGTGATTAAGGCACTGGACTCCTATATGGCTGACAACAGTTAAGTCCCGAACCTGGCAACTTGTTTTCTCACTCCCTCCCCATACACACATTTCTGTCTGGCAAGCACACGTGCCATATATCAAATTTTAAAAAAAATTAAATTAAATAATTTTAAAAATGGTTGTGTCGCTGGTGGCGTGGTGGTTAAGGCAGCTGGATCCTACATGGCTGATAGCATGGTTCAAGTCCTGGACCTGGTAACTCGAAAAAACACTAGATGTATGTGTATGTATGCCCCTAATCTCAGGAGGATGGAGGAGGAGGGACTGTAGCATGCTCGTCTCCTCAGGGATACTTTCTCACTTTCCCCCTCTCTCTTACTCTGGTGAGTACACGTGCCTATAGCAAACTTAAAAAGAAAAAAGGAAAATAAAAAATAAAAGCCCAAACACTTTGTTTTACAAGTCACTTCTTTCTTTTCTTTTCTTTTAAGAGAGATTTATTCTGGGACCAACAGTTAGCGTAATGGCTATGTTGCTGGACTCCCACGTAGTCAACCGTGGTTTGCGTCCCAGACCCGGTGGGTTCAAACTACCGCCCGGCGCGTGTGCGTGCGGGCGCC